CTGCAGGACACAGGAAGCCATTTGTCTCTATTTGTCCACAAGTGATCATATCCATTCAGTGAGCGAGTGCGATTCTGTCATTCAACTGAGTATCTTCTTTGGTTTAGAAATAGTCACAGTTCGATACCGACCAGTGAAGCGAAGGCTCACAGATGGATTGCAGAAGGAAACGGCAACTCAACTAATCCAGAGCGCGCCTGGGAACCGCTTTGTTCCCTGCACGTGGCGCAGGGCGAGGCGAACGGCGGATTGCCTTTCCGTTTATTTACTTCCGTTATCATCATCATAACTAAGATTATCATTATTTTCATTATTATCATTTTTATTATTATCATTATCATTGATATCTTCGTTATTAATATTTTCATTGTTATTCCTGTTATAGATATAATCATAATCGTTACTATTATTATTAACATTTATTATTATTCTTATTATTATCATTATTACTATTATTATCATTATTATTACTATTATTATTATTATTAATTATTATTATTGTTGTTGTTATTATTATTAATATCATTATTATTATTATTATTACCATTTTCATTATTATTATTATTGTGATTTATCATTATTATCATTATCATTGGTATTATCGTTATTATAATTATCATAATTATCATCATTATTATCATCCTCGTCATTATTATCATTATCATTATCACCATCATCATCATCACCAACACCATCACCTTACCTTCTTCATAATCTATACCATCATCATTATTATCATTATCATTACTATTATTTTATATTACTATAATAATAATAATGATGATGATGATAATTATTATTATTATTATTATCATTGTAATCATTATTACTATTATCATTATCATTATTGTTATTCTTGATAATCGTCATTATTATCACTATTGTTATTACCATCTTCATTACTATCATTATTGATATTATCATTATTATTATTATTATCATTATTATAATCATTATTATTATTGTTATTATTACTATTATTATTACTAGTATCATCTTTTTATGATCACTTTCATTATTGTTACCATTACTGCTATTATTGTTATCATTATTCTTATTCTTATTCTCATTATTATCATCATCATTATTATTATTATCATTATTATTATTATTATCATTATTATTATTATTATTATTATTATTATTATTATTATTATTATTATTATTATTATTATTATTATTATTATTATTATTATTATTATCATCATCATCATCATTATCATCATTACCATCGTTGTTGTTTTTAATATTATTACTATCATTATTATCATTATTATTATCATTATTATTTCTATTACAGCTATCATTATCATTATTGTTTTGTTGATGTAATTATGTTGTGATTGTTATTATTATCATTATCATTATTTTTTTTATCATCATTGCCATCATCATTATCATTGTTGTTATTATCATGATCATTATTATTGCTATTATCATTAGTATTATCATTATCATTATTATTACTCCTACCATTATTATTATTATCATTATTACCATTATTACTTTTATTATTATTATTAATTTTGTTATTATCATTATTATCATTTCCATTATTATTATTATTGTTATTATTATTATTATTATTATTATTATTAATATCATTATTATTACTATTATTATTGCCATTATCATCAATATCATCGTTATTATTGTTGTTGTTATTATAATTTTTCTTATTATTAACATTATCATTATAATAGTTATTATTATCATTGTTATTACTATTATTATTATTGTTATCAACATCATCATCATTATTATCATCATCTTTATCATTATTATGATCATTTATCATTATTATCATTACCATTATTGTTAGTCATTGTCATCATCATTATGATTATTATCTTTATTATCATCATCTTAATCATATCACCATCATCTACATTGTACTTCTAATTATAGTTATTGTTTTTATTATTGTTATTACTATAATGATTTTATTACTATTGTCCTCATTATCATTATCAATGTTGTTAAAGTTAATCATCATTATTGTTATCTTTATTACTACCGTTTTTCTTTTTCGTCCTTTTTATCCTTTATTTCCCTAAGCCATGACCCTTCCCCCCCCCCCTCATCTCCCTTTCTCTCATCAGCCAAAATTCATGATATATCTTTCGAGGGCTATCGTTTCTTTTCTTTCTATCCACATTTTCTTCTGCTTCCTTTTCCACTCCCTTCGTCTATTTTTCTCCATCCTCCCTTTCTCCTCTTCTCCCTCTTCCAATCTTTCACTTCATAATACTCCTCCTTCCTCTCGTTCTCTCTCTCCTAAATTACCTCCTCCTCCTCTTCTTTCTCTTCTTCTTAAACCTCCTCTTCTTCTCCTTCGCCTCCTCTTCCACCTGGTTCTCTCCTTCTTCTTAAACCTCCTTTCCTTAATCTCCCTAATCCTAATCCTAATCCACCCCATCTCCGTCCTCTTTCCTCCGATCCCAACAGCGCCTCATAAACACATTCCTTCTCATATTTCCGTTGCGAGTGCGCGGCGGCAGTAAACCATTGTCGTCGTAAAAGTTTTCTCATCACCCGAAGGAAACGGGTCGTGGTCATGTCTCGCTTGACCTCACCGGAAGATGGCGATTTGACCTTGTAAGCGGCCGGCGTCGTCCGAACTCCTTGTGAGATGTCTTCGTTTTCACTCTGGACTTCCTTGGGGTCGTGTTGGTCATGCAGGCCGTAGCGACTGCCGGGACGATGTGGTTTGGGGATGCTCGTGTCGTTGTTATGCGTCCGGCCTAGTTTGTGTTTGTCTGTTTATGCGTGTGTGTATGTGTCTGGGGGGATAGAGGGGTGTGTGTGTGTGTGTGTGTGTTTGTGTGTGTGTGTGTGTGTGTGTGTGTGCGTGTGTGGAGGAAAAAAAGCGGTGGTACTAATTGTAACGGTAATGGTGATTATGGTTATGATTAGAATGGATAATGGTTATGACTAAGAAGATAATAGTGAAAGGAGTGATGACTATAATGATGGTAATGAGTGTAATAATCGTGATGCCAATGATAATAGAATGTGGACGGCAATAACAAGACAATCGTAACGGTAACTTTATAATAATGATAATAATAAACAATAACAACAATATCTAAAATATTGATAACGGAACAAAAAAAAAAAAAAAAAAAATCTGAAAATCTCCAGTCTGTCATTTCAGGCAACTCAGCAGTGTTGCCATTAACATTTCCACAAAACCGGTTGACATAAAGATTAGTTCCTCCTTTTTACCGCTAAAAGGACTTTAAAATATTGCTAGATACAGTGTAAACATTCAGATTTTATCGCTAGACCTAGTTATTGAGTTATGATTCAGCGGGAAAATTATGATAATTTTCCCCGATAAATCATAACAAACTGACGATCGAGAGGGAAAACTAATAATTTTCCGATAGGGCACAACTCAAAAACTCTAGAGCAAGCGTGAAAACAATAATAACTTTCCCGATGAATGATAAATAAAAAACTCCAGATCCAGCAGGAAAATAGCCATAATTTTCCCGACAGACCTTGACTCAAAATCTCTAGATCGAGCGGAAAAAAAAATCCCGATCGACCGGGAAAAAATAAAAAAAACTCTCGATCCACCAGGAAAACAACAACCCTTTTCCCGAGAGACGATAATTCGAAAACTCTAGAAACGGGAAAATTGCCATTCATTTCAGCCAAGTCCCGCGTCTCCATCAGCAAACGAACACGGGCGCACGGAGGCCGAAGCAACAGCCGTTACATCGCTTCCCTGTAAGGAGAGATGCGATGCCTTTGTTCTTGTCCTGTTCTGTAACCTCACAGACGCAGCTTAGTCTCGTAAAGCTCTAGATAAAAAGGTGAATGATGAAACGCGTATTAAAGATCATGGTAGTGATAATGATGGTTATGATATGATGATGACGAATGGATGAATGAGTGAATTGGATGGATAGATGTATTGGTGGATAGATGGATGGGTGGATGAATGGATGGATGGATGAATTAATGAATAGGTGGATACATAGATGGATAGATGGATGGATATATGGATAGCTAAATGGCTGTTTAGATGGACGGATGGAAAGATAGATGGTTGGATGAATGGGTGGATAGATAAATGGATGGGTGGATGAATGAGAGAATGGATGAATTGATGGACTTATGAATGGATGGATGGACGTAATAGACGTTTCCAGCTGATTAGGGGAAATAACACGAATAAAAGGATAATTACAGGGCTGTAAAGGGGAAAAAATCCACCATAGTGTTGCCATATCTTTCCCCCACCGCAGTGTTGCCAGCAGCAAGTGGGACTTCACTCGGGAAAAGGCGAAGGAGCAGATAAGGCGAAGGAGCAGATAAGGCGAAGGAGCAGATAAGGCGAAGGAGCAGATAAGGCGAAGGAGCAGATAAGGCGAAGGAGCAGAAAGGCGAAGGCAGATAAGGCGAAGGAGCAGGCGAAGGAGCAGATAAGGCGAAGGAGCAGATAAGGCGAAGGCAGATAAGGCGAAGGAGCAGATAAGGCGAAGGAGCAGATAAGGCGAAAGGAGCAGATAAGGCGAAGGAGCAGATAAGGCGAAGGAGCAGATAAGGCAGATAAGGCGAGCAGATAAGGCGAAGGAGCAGATAAGGCGAAGGAGCAGATAAGGCGAAGGAGCAGATAAGGCGAAGGAGCAGATAAGGCGAAGGAGCAGATAAGGCGAAGGAGCAGATAAGGCGAAGGAGCAGAGGAGCAGATAAGGCACAGATAAGGCGAAGGAGCAGATAAGGCGAAGGAGCAGATAAGGCGAAGGAGCAGATAAGGCGAAGGAGCAGATAAGGCGAAGGGATAAGGCGGAGCAGATAAGGCGAAGGGCTGTGTGGCGCTGAAGTCCCTCGGGAAATCAAGAAGAAGACTTGATATTCTACTTCATTATATTTGTCTGTTGTGCTTCGTATTACGCGATGTTTAGAATGCTTTTTTAGTGTTTGATGCGTGTTTTTTTTTTCTTGTTCTCTTTCTTTCACTGTCTTTGTTTGTCTTGTTGTCTGTT